TTTTTAAAATCCGAGTGCATTGGGCACCACCATTCTGAGCACTATAGTAAAATATTATTTATGTAAGTACGTTTTTTAAATAATAAATTATTAAGGTACTTATTTAATATTTGATATTAAAATATTTTTTTTTAACAGGTACAACTGGTTTTGTGGTGTTAAATATTTATTAAATATGAAGTATTTACCTGTTTCACTAACTCTATGCACTCAACATCAAATGTTTTTTCATTGCTGGATGAAACATTGCAAGTTGTTGGTTGCTGAGAAGATGTGCCAGGTGTGGTGATATTGATATTAGTATTTTTGACCTCGGGAATAACTTTTGGAATAAAATTGGATTGAATCTGTCCTATAATATTATTCTCCAATCTTGCCAATTTTATGTCCAAAAGCTTTTCAATACCATTTAATGTTGCCATTTTTTCAATGTCCTTTTTCTGTATTTTATGTTTTATTAGTATGTATTAGTTTTAGTTATAGTTATTTAGTATAGTTTTAGTATCTTGTTATTAAGTATTAGTAGACTATTCTATGTTAATTTTATCTTACCAATTTCACAACTTTTTGTTTAAGACATTCATTTTCCATATACATGGCATCACATTTATGTTCTAAAGCCATATGTTTTCTCTTCACATCATCCTGTAGTAATTAAATATGCAGTTTCAAAGTTGGTTTACAATAATTTTAATAATTAAAATGTTAGTTTTTTTTTCAATGTCACTTGTTAGATATGTATAAAGAAAGCAAATTTTCAACAACTAGAAACATTTTATAATAGGTGTATTAAAGCCCACTCATGTTGTGGCAGCAGCAGTCGGGATATAAAAGAGTCAGACATATTTACTGCTGGTACTTCTATGTGTGTTAGCTTTAAGTAAAAATTATTAAAATATGAATTATTTACCAATTTTAGAACAGAATCGCCAATGTCCTCCTTAAGTTTTTCACTTAGTTCAGTTACTTCACTTAAGTCAGAGTGTAAAATATCATTTTTAATTTTTAAACCATGTGCTTCCTATGATTAAGACAATTAAAAAAATATATCAACCAAATATTAAAAAATTTAAAAAAAATTATAAACTTTAATTAGCTAATTTTAAATAGCAGAGTAGAAATATTTTACCTGCATTTTAGTTTCCAATGATTGAAACAATAATGAATAGCCATGTTTATAAAATTCCAATTCTGAAACGCTATTTTTTGGATTCATTGCTTGGTAGTCTTCATAAGTCTCAGGATATTTATCCATTTTTATTTAAAATTAAAACAATGTTTAATTTTAAATTAATACAAATGAAAAAATGTTAATAAAAATATCTAATGTATACTTTAAAATAATATGTACATATCATGTAAAGTAGACTTCAGATACTAGACTGTTGTATTGGATGTATAAGATAATATTGTAAAATCATTTTTACCTATATTTAGGGAAAACCTATACTTAATCTAATCACAGATGTTAACATTTTTCCTCTGTATAATAATTCATATAGTTGTGTATTTAATATATTTAATATATATTTGTATTTAAACTATATAGTTTTTAATAAAATATATATTTTATATTTTTTATTTATTTTATTGTTTATTGTTTTACCCAACTTTATTTTCAAAGTTAGTGTATAATTTTCCATGCCATAATATGTATACCAACGACGAGAAAGTTGATATGGTTTTTTGTATATAATGAGTGTAACGGTAATAGTCGAAAATCACTGGAGCTATACAGAGAAAGATTTCCTACCAGAAATCAACCTTCTTGGATGATTTTCTCGCGTTTAGTTAATAGTTTAAGGAAGACAGAACATTTTCCAGACAGAAAACACGAGTCACACATGAGAATTGTGACCAATATCCCTGCCGAAGAAAATGTAATTACATACTTTACAGCATATCCAAATAGTTCTTTATCTAAAGCATCTAAAGATCTTGGTATACCGAAAACTTCAATACATAGAATTTTAAAAAGGCAAAATATGTTTCCTTATAAAATACATATAGTTCAACATCTCCGTGTTACTGATTATGATAAACGTATGAATTTTATTGCTTGGTTTCAGGTTAGTAATCATGTTTTGTATAAAAAAAAAAACTTCATTGAATTTTTATTTAAAAACATTCATAAAATTTATTTATATTTTTATACATTGTTACATTGATACTTAATTAAACAATAATACTATATTTAAACAGTCTATGATGGAAGATGATCCTTCACTTATAAAGAAAGTATTATGGACTGATGAATGTAAGTTCCAAAATAACGGAATATTGAACCGTCAAAATTCTCGTTATTGGAGTGACAAGAATCCTTGTTGGATGAGGGAAAGTAAATTCCAAGTTATGTGGAGTATAAATGTGTGGTGTGGAATTGTAGGTGATTGCTTGGTAGGGCCATATTTTTTTGAAGGTATGTACATATATTTTTAATCAAAATATATTAAACAGCCACATCTGTAAAAAAATATTAAACATTACATTAATATATTTCATTTAGGTATATTAACTGGGGAAAAATATTTAAACTTTTTAAAAAATATTTTACCCATATTATTGGAAGATGTGCCTCTTGACATACGGAACGATATGTACTTTCAACAAGATGGTTGCCCAGCTCATAATGCTTAGATTGTAAAATCATTCTTAAATGACACATTTGGTAAAAAATGGATTGGAACAGTTGGTCCAATTTCCTGGCCTCCAAGGTCTCCAGATTTAACATGCCCAGACTTTTTCTTATGGGGTTATCTTAAAGATAAAGTATATAAAACTGAATCTGTAGACATCAATGACATGAAAGAAAAAATAAAATCTGCATGTTTTAAATTGTCAAAAGAAACATTAAAAAATGCCACTGGACGAAAGTTAATGGAACGTTTCGAAAACTGTGTACTAGAAGCTGGACATCAATTTGAACACCTAATGCAATAGGTGTCTTTTAGTAAGATGCTTTAGTGATATGGTTTAACTTATAGATACTACACAATAAATAATTTAACGAGTACATTTTATTTAATTAATCATACATAAAGATCTTCATACCTACTTCTATAATCGAATAATTGGAATATAATCTTGTTGCGGTTGTGATTATTTGGTATTCATTGTAATATGTAATCTAATTTGATTGAACTGGATATAACAGAGATATAACTTTATTTCAATTATTCCTTCAATATTCTTTCTAAATGATAAACATAATATGTTTAAGCTTTTACAACTTTCATAAAAAAAAATAAAAAAAACATTTCAATTAGGTACCTACCATAAATTAATTTTTAAATTATAAAGACTAGATTCTTGTGCAAATTGAAATTTTCACTTTGTAATTCCATATCTAAAATTGTATTGAATTTGTACCTATGTATTCGTAAATCTCTATGGATCGAAATCGATTAATTTTAATAGTTTTATTTTGCATAGCAAAAATGTGACAACTAACGATCATGATATACAAATACAATGTATAACCATTTGGCTATTATAGTATGAAAGCATGATAGTTAATTAACAAAATATTATAAATTAAATTAAATTATATTATGGGTGCCTATTAAACACAAATACATGAAATTGAATTTTGCATAGTTCAAAATTTTAATTGATTTTTAGGTATTTGGTGCACAAAAATCTGGTCTTGGTCTTTAGTAATACAATTTAATTTATAAGTAACTCATAAAGTAGTTAATAGGTTACTATAACTAAGGCTATTATCTATTTAAAAAATAACTACTTACTAAGGAAAAATTTCCTGCCAAAAATCAAACTTTCCAAATGGTTTTCTCACGATTAAATGATGGTTTGAACGTTTTTCTAGTAACAAATTCCCAGTAACAATATACAACTGTACGAGTACACACACTACGCGTTTGTCAGTTATTTAAATTTAAGTCATCAAATTAATTCGTTAACGGCGTTAACGGCTATTTTTATTTACACATATAGTATTTCAGTAAAAAATAAAAATAAAATAATTTTAAGGTTATAAATCATATCTTTAAACTTATATCACTATTATCATTGAATGATACAAGCTACTAACTTAAATACTTAATAACTAAACTAATTATTTTAGATTCTTACGTTGAACTGCAGGAGCAGTTGGAAAAAAACAATTTTTTTTGATTTTTGTCATTTGCTTATGCCAATAACGCTTGCCTCTGCTTCGCTTTTCTTTTGGAATGCCCGTTTTCAAACTTTCTTTTATACATATTATGAATAAAAGGAATAAAAATAATTTGATATTTTACTCACTCCAAATTATTAATTAAAAGATAAAAGTTTCATACTGTATTTAATATATTTTTGTACGCAGATTGTTAACGATAAGAAAAGTAAAGGCATAAAATATAATTCTAATGAATTCAGGCACGTAGCTAGGATTAAATAATTAGGGTGGCACAATATGGCCAATATTTTTCTTGAGTAGCCAACATTTTTACTTACCCCTCCCCCCTTCCACACTAGACACTAATAAAATTATGTTTATGTATAGGTATATTGTTTATAATATAATAAAATTGTAGTTTCTGAATATAATAATTAGTGTAAATAGGTACAAAAAACTAAATTTGATAAACAAATAAATTAGATAATTTTCATCTTAATATTATATAAACCTTATACAGGGTTATAATATAATAATTGCAGGACACATTAAAAGCAAAAATTAATTTGTCAAATGAAAAAGTTGTAAGTATTTAAAAATTACAAAAAAAGAAATATTATACTAAAATTAAAGCTATTAACAAATAAAAAAATAATGACGTTTTAAATGTTTTACCGAAAAAAATTCAATCGGAAAATCAAAAGTATAAGGTTAAATTGGTAGGTTTTAATTTTTGAATAACTCAAGTATTAAAAAGTATGCTTATTATAATATTTTTATAGGTAACACTTGAACAAAAATTAGTTGGCTTGGAATTGGAAAAAGGTCCAATTAATGTTGAAAATATTGATGATCCAAATGAATCGGTAGTCCCATTATTATTTTATACAAAAATGTGCTTTAAATTCTTATTAAATTAAAATTTTTTAAATTTTAGAAACGTTATGTTGAAAAACATGAGTTGCTGCCCATAAAAACTAAAATTGATTTTTTTAGAAAAGTTGGTGTGTGCAAAACGAGGTAAAATTAGTTTGGAAGAAAAATCTGAGTGTAGCGATATAAATTTTGTCTCAGTGAATAAGGTACTTAGTTAAATAATGCATTTTTACAAACATGTTATTAATAATTTAACACAGTAAGAGAATATGTAACCTAAAAAAATATTATAATGTTGATGATAGGAATGTAAAGAATGGTGGTGTCCAAAACACTTTTCATTTATTGATATATTATTATCCCTAAATTTGAAGGAACAATCATTAGAAGATCAGTACCTTATTAGAAAGGCAAAGTCAAGATTTGTTTATTGGCAAGGTGATGATAAGGTATACAGAAATTTACCCGAATTATAATAAATACATTTTTAATAAAATATGTATTACATTTTGAATTATAGAACAATCCACGGTGTCCTGTGAATGATCGAAAAAAAAGGAAAATTAACATATTTTCAAATTCCAAAATGCTGGCCACAAAATAAGGAATAGTATCTTTATTAATCATTATAATAAATATACATATATATATATATATTACGTAGTTATACTATACGTCTATACAGTATAAATGTATAAATAATGTATGATTTTGATTTGTGATCAATAAACACTTACCACAAGTCGACTTTTCTTAAAGCGGGACATTTTTAGGTTCTTTGGGGACAGCGGGACACTTGGCTCGAAAGCGGGACTGTCCCGCCCAAATCGGGACGTATGGTCACGTTAAGTATAACTGATGTGCATATAAATTAAACTGTTAATTTATGTAGGTACGTATCAATCGTCTAGCGGGCGATCCATCTGAAATGAATCATCGGATAAAAAAATTATTTTGTATTTCAGACGTGCTCTATACCGCGGACACGCAGTAAAATGTTCGTCGTACACTAATTAATTGAAACACTATAATTTTATTATACACGATGTCTCGATCTGGTGTAATATCGTTGGACACGTTTTATACGATTAGGTACCTCCTGCTGAATAGTCGTAAGTGTAACTCGTAACGCAAAACGACAGTTGACGGATACTTGTCGAGTGTACGAGTTGCGCGAAGGACTGGCTTATAGGATATCATGCATCAATAATTGTATGAAAATAATGGAGATAAAAATATGTCCAAACTAAATACTACTGTATTTCTTTGGCTTGTAGCCTATAAGCGCAAAATATGACCCAAACGCCACTCAAAAGCGCAAAAATATAAATATTCCATAAGTACAAAAAAAATAAATAAATAAAAAGGTAGATACCTTTTTAATAAACCGTAAGCGCAAATAAATTCTACAAGAATAAAGTGTATTTTATAAGTTAGATATAAGTTTATACTGTACATCATATTGTACATAGTTATCTTAAATGATTATCAAACTTCACCGCAGTTCGTTACGATAAAATACAATACGATAATATTAAACTTTAACTGAACTCGATCACTGTTGATGCGTATTTTTGAATTTTAAAAATACCATACATTTAATTGAAATGAATAATTAAATTTAATAATTAATAATTTTAAAATGAAACTTATAGTGTAACGGGTAAAATATTTATTTTTGCGCTTTTGTACCGTAGCAGTGGTACAAAAGCGCAAAAGTATTTTTCGCTCTTTTGCAGGTCTATCGAAAAAAAAATCGACGATTTGCGCTTTTGAGTTTCACCGTATTTCTTCACGAGGTGACACAGTCTGTGTACGCGAGTGTACAATATGTGTCATGTACCTATTTTCATTTCCGTGGAAATTAGGGCAGTTAGGTTTACAGAAGTGATACAGGTAATTCGTATATGCCGTTTTACATCGATTTATATAATAATGAAACATATATTTTATTCTGATTCGCACACAAAAGTACAACGGATGAACGTAAAACGGGCGTATTACACTTTTATATAGTTTTGCATATCTTTGAAATTATATAATATATAGTTACAACATATAAAGCAATAAAACCATACATTTTAAATAAAAAATGCCTATTGGCTATTTGCCGGTTTCTTTTTTTTTTTTACAAACATGAAATATAGTATTTGTAATTTATGTATAATAATATTATTATATACTATAAAATAGATATTATAATGAACATTTTTTTTTTTTTTTTTTTTTTTTAAACAAGGATACAAACGATACTAAAAATAAGGTTTTTAAAATGTCAATACATATTTTTTTTTATTAAATTACATAACTACAGAAGGAATGAAACTGATGATAAGTTTCACTAACAATAATATTTCACGGCAGTGAAGCGAAAAAAGAAAAAAAAACAGTTTATAAATTTAACACATTTTCCGTAAAGAAATTAACAAAACATTTTACAACAAGGCTATATAATATTATATAAATATGTCGCACAAATGGCATTCTGTTTTTAACATTTCTTGACGACTAAAATTAAGTAATAATCAGTAAAATAAATGCAATGTATTCTTTATACTAATAAGGTTTATATTTTATTATTTAAGCATAAACCAATCATACGACACACACACTCACACACACATAAACACAAACACACACACACAAATGCGCGTAGATACAGTGGCATAGCGAGATGTCTTAGAGGCAGTCACTTGTGTATTTTTAATTGGATGGGGGGGGGGGGGTACTTATCTTAGTTGTAGTTTATTCCCATATTGCTAAATCTAAATCAAATTTTAAAGGGTTATTTATAGGAAATTTATTGGTGGGCGGTCAGAGATGTTCAAAAAAGACTTTCAACAATGTTTGAATTATAACCACACCACTGGAGTGCACACGTAAATATATCATAATAATATAAAAGTTAATTAACGCGAACTTTTTTATAATAATACACATAATGATCAAAGTAGGCTAAACGCATAAATGGCAAATACAATGTTATTACCTAAATAATAGTAAACTTAATATATCATAATACGTGTGTGCATAAATAATTTGTACAGAGTGTTCAGAATTCCGTTAAATTGATCGGACATGATATTACGAGTATTAAGTATTGTGCTTTTGTGGGTTATAGGTCTACAGTTTTTATAAGCATATTATACAACTGAATGACTCGAACCTCGAAGTAATTATAAACACGGTATAAAATGTTTGTGTAAAAATATTTGCTAGCCGGGATTATGGGTCGATGGTACGAGTAGATGGAGGATCGTAGAAATACGGAAACGTGCCCGTGGAACATTTTTTTTTTTTTTGAATCTTATATGGTTTGAATTTGATGGCACTGTTTTTATTTTTTTGGTTTAGTAGAGGGGATCTACGCAATTTCTTACAATAGTTACGTGGCCTAGACTTTAGAGGATCTTTATACCGCGGGGCTTGGATAAATTTTCGATATCGAAGCTCAACGAAAAAATAAAATAAATTTATAAAATAAAATAATTAATAAAAATAATAATAATAATAATAAAAATAATAATAATAATAATAATAATAATGATAATAATGATAATAATGATAATAATAATAATAATAATAAAACACGCTCTCTTACGTATATAATATTATACGCTATTTAAATATCGATGTAGGTAACAATATATACGTATAGGTATAACAGAACTGAATAGATATACTTAGAGGATATCAGATATCAAGAAAATCGTATTCACTTCTATGATTTTACGTCACATAATATATATATATATACATACATATATTTATAATATATGTATGGATGATCGTTTTCTTCAAAATGGTAAACTAGCAATGAACATGTTCTCGATCAACGGCGGGGCGGGGACCAGGTCTTCTAGTTTCAAGTAGAATATCCGCTGGAGCCCCTGTACGCTGAGTGAACGCAACTCGGGCAGTTTTGCCAGTAGTCTCGAGAAGTAATAAGACTTGCGCTGCGAATCAGACATGCTGTACGTGATGTGTTCCCGCAAAGAATTGATGATTTTCATCTGGATCTGTTCAGCTTTTTTCGCTTCTCGGAGACCGTGCCGTTCTGAGGACAAAAACCACGTAAAAATTTAAAATACAATATTTTCATGAACTGCACAGTAGAACGTTTGTACAGACGACGACTGACGGTTATACCACGATATTATTTTATTTATTTTTTAAACATTTTGCACCAACATTGCATAGGAATGCGTAGGTACTATAGCGAACACTTCAGTGATAGCTATACATATACATATACATTTATCAGATTATTATGATGATGATCGATGACAGTAATTTGTTAAGAGGACGTCTCACCACTCATGTACCTATACGTAATAACGCATAACACATCTGCGATCAGCCAAACCAATATCGTTTTGTCAGTTTTATAATATTTAAGTAAATTCACTTACTCAAACAGCGAATTGACTTGCTGCAAAATTTGATAAACTAAGAACATTATCTGGGTTTGAACGTGGTTTTTTTTTACGATAATTTGATTTTCGAGCGAATTATGAGTACCTATCTAAAGTATTGCAATATTTAAAAATTCTATTGATTTGTTTAAAATTTAAAATACCGCGAAAAATTGACGTGAGAACACAGGTGATAGGTTTACCGTTAAGATTCAAATAATATCTTATTATTGATATAAGTAAAACATATTATTCACTATTTAATTGGTTTTGGAGAAGTGGCTACGCAATATTTATTCTGTTGAATGAAAATTTACTAGTTTTGTGTAATGATGTATAGATAGCGCATGCAGTTCCGATGTTCTTAGTTATCGTATTGGCGGAGATTTCGAGTACCTACATTAGAAAATTTATTTTAATAATATAATAATATTGTGAAGTGATTAGACAATTTCAATTCTTATATGTGTGGCGTTAACATTTGAAAAAAGAACACTTTTTTATTATATGCACACGAACGTAGAAATTAAACGGTTTTAGGGAAATTCGAAGTGAGAATATATTTTAATAGAACATTTAGTAGCTATGACGTGTAATGTGTATAATATTATCTTGAATTATACTAGGTATATTTAATATTTATGCATGCATTTTAATATTGATTACATATCTTAAATGTTTAGATATTTCTTTATGATACTTCAAACTATTATTGTCTATTGTTGGCCATATTTTCACCATCTAATGTTTTATTTAGAATTTTGTACTCTACGATAGGTATGATAATTTGTATTTGTTTATTAATCGCGTTAAATTTAAATATATTATATTGTAAAGTTCCACGCGTTCTATGCATAAATAAATGCAAAATTCTCGGATTATCGAAATTAAATTTACGACGTTGACCTTTTCGAAGAAAACAATTACTATAATAAAACTATTATTTAAAGATATTAAAATATTGTCTAACGTTTTTCTTAGTATTTGACGTTTCGCTCAGTAATATTGTCCACGTTATACGTATTATTATGTAGGTGCAAAGTCATAATATGCACTATAGCCAGACGTTTTTGGCCTCGTATAGTAGACAGCGTTATGGTCACTGCGGTCACTTTGACTACAATTCGGTTTAAATGATACTCTTTGTGTTTACATTGATATCTTCATTAGTCGATTGCGCAACAAAAAAGATTTCGACATTAAGATATGAAAATTTTATTTTTATTCAACGTTGTGTTGTCCTCCATTTGAGAAAAATTAATATTGTTGTAAGTTATATTAGGCTGAAATATTAAAATAAATATCCAAAGTTTTAAAGATCATTATTTTTTTAATGAGTAAAAAGAAATATAACTTAAATACGTTTTGATCGAAATAATTTAAGAATAAATTCCGATGGTTTTTTTCTAATTTAAAAAACAAGTTTTTGTGAAATTTTTGAAGTAAAATAATAATAAATAATTGTGTTTTCCAAACTTTTCGTTTTAATGACACAGAGTATTCAAATATTTCATACCTAACGATCACTCAAGCAACTTGATGTATGTGTAAATATACATAAGTTTATTAGGTACGTATAATACGAGTAATGAGTATATTATATTTATGTAACAATGTAGAAAACATAAAATACTTATAATACTGCTTACGTGCATTTTATTTATTAAATATATTTATATAGACACAAGGTACTACTTTAAAGTAGCTTACAAGTGATTTCATGTCGGTCACAATTCACGTTAGTTACGTAATCATGAAATTATTTACTTAGAAAAATAGTTTTGGATAAGAAACTTTTATGGAGAAGATTACAGTCAGATAGATAAGAAACAAACCAAATTTATTTTATTGAATGAAACATCTATAATGTGTCACAATCTGGTGGTTGAGAATAAATATAGTACTGGGTGAGATTTGAAATAATATTAGTTTCAAACGTCGGTAACTTCAATGCTTTATATTCGATTTTTAAACGTGTTAAATTTAATATAATTTAATCATATTCAAAATATTATTGTCATTTTAAAAATGAAACGAGATTTTATGCGTTACAGGCTTAATTGTTATCGAATTTCTCAATATAATCGTATATGTTCGGGGGTTTTTTTTTATCGCAAATTTCTGAACAGATTTTTTACATGTTATTATTTTTGTTTTAATATTGAAACCACGCATAATAATTGAATAATAAAATCCAGATAGGTAAGGAGTCTTTTTTATTTACACATCACTTTATAATATTAAAAGATATTACGATTGATATGATAGGTTTTAGATACAGTGATCGCCGCTTAATGTAATCACTTTGGTACGGGACATAACTGATAACATAATCCGATTGATAACATTAAACGAAAGTTAAAAAAATTATAAAAAATAATAAAATCTACGTTAAATACATAGTTAATAAAAATATAATTTTTTTATTTATTATTATTTATTTATAAATAAAGTACATATACGTACGTAGGTATAAATTGGAAATTTAAAATTTAAAAAAAAAAATTAAATGTAAATAAATAAATATGTATAATATGTATACGAACGAAAGATAGATATAAATGTGATATCAATGTGTATAGTATATAGACATTTATATCTTTATTACAATTTTTATCTTTATTATGAGACATTCGACGAAAAATTTGATTGTATGTTACAAAATTATGATTTTATGAACTCAAACTGATAATATTATGCGGCGTATTGATTACAAAAACCGACATAATTTACACATATAAGTATAGATCCGGCCCGTACTTACACTTTTCGATAACAATAAACGATTGATAACATTAACCGTGATTATAATAAACGGCGACCACTGTACCTACAATACATGCTGTATAATTTAATGATAAGAATGTATACCTGTAATCAGAGTTAAGGCACACAGGCAAGAGAAAGATGATATATCGATGTCCAGCGAGTGTAATGATTGACTGAAGTCTAATATAGCTTGTAGCCAATCGCCAAAACTTCTATGGCACTGTTGTTTATCCAGAACCACTCCGTTACAAAATATTAGTTTTGTATCGGCATATTTTGTCCTAAGGGAAATAAAACAACACGTTAATTTAATAACAACAACAAAAATTATTACCAATGTAAATATTTAGGCACACAGTGGCTGTTAAAGGGAATGTAAAATTATTATATATTTCACAAACTTATGGGGGGAGGGAATTTTCATCCACACCATCACGATTTACTATACTTATTTAATTAAAAATATTATTTTATTCTATTAATAAAACAAGTTAATAATTTTACTATAATTTAATCAAGCGTTTTAAAACAAAGTGGTGATAATCACCTTTTTTTTATGCTCAAATGAATGTAAGTGTCTTCTGCGATATGATTTGGTTTAAACGATAGTATTTTAATATGATCAATGATCATTGATCATAATAAGTTAAGTATCAAAATAATAAGCAAGTTTAGCCATGTAGTATTGGTACTCTCGGGAATGTCTTATGTGGAGGGGCGTGTAGCGTTAGGGCTTTATAAATATTATTTCAGGAACATTAAAGACTAAATCATCAAAAATGAATAATTATTCAACACGTACCTGTACGCGAGACGGAGCACGAATAGTTCTAAAGATGCTGACTGAAATAGTAAATCTTGATCCGATTTGCACAGAGTTTTGAATCCTGGTATCTTTTCGGCAAAATGTCTGATAACTTCCACAGACGTCGTGAGCAATCCAAAGAACTGTTGAATTTTTTCCGCTTCGGTGATCAGTGGTTCAAACGGCTTTGGTTCGTGATACTAGAAAAAACGCCGTTAATACTATCATATCGTCTAATATTACATGTAGTACAACTTTTCCGTACACCGAAATACAATACATATATATATATATATATTGTACAAAATGATCATTTTATCGTGTTATACAATTGATATGTTTTAAAGTTTTATAAAAGATAACCTAAGTCTAATAAAATCTAACTTTAACATGCTGAGCCATAGTATTAGATCGGTTGAGTTTAAGAAATATCGAATGTGCTGTAGTAAAATAATCATTTTGTGCTTAACTTAAATATGATGGAGGTACCAACAGCATAATATATGTTTACAATACTCGAACAACAATAATATTTTTTGTCATTCATAGGTACCAAATGTTTAAATAGAAATATTTACCACCTCTGCGTGGTATACTTTTCGAAAAGCAGTCAATATATTATTATTATAACTGTTACGTGGGAATTTAAAACCAACGCTCGTGTGTTGTGTTTATTATTAACAAGAGTGAAAATAGACAATGTGTATAAATAATAAAAAAACACGTGTAATAAACATGGGGTGAGCAGAAGCGTTTTAGGTTTAAAGTATGCACCTACTCATGTCTTAAATAGTATTGAGTTGTATAAATATATGCGTTTCTGCTATAATTATTGACGAAAAGTAAAAAAAAAAAAAAAACGTTACGTAGATATAATGTGATGTTAGTAACATCATGTTACATATATAATACAGAATATTGAGGAATATAGGCGTCATGGATACTGTGATTAAGATTTTTGTTTCGATCAATATTTTCGTCTACGGAGATCTTTTTAACATAAAAAAAAAACCACAAACGATTTCAATGACTAATGACTTGTTTTTCAACTACAGATAATTTATTTTAGCTACCCGTAATTTCTAGTTCTGAGATTTAAAAAATATTCTAAAACAAGTATCTGTGGCATATATTATAGACTATAATATACTTATAATCGAGTAATTTATTATATACCTACTGAATAATATGATTTATTTAACTGAAAAATACGTATGGTCGTAGAAAATATATGCATCACTCGAATAGTCTAATGAAAAATAAAATTTGCGGTATTTCATTTTATTCTTCAGTTACATACGTGTATTATAATGTCAACACTATTAAATTTAATTTTTGAAGTTGTAGTTGCTCACAAATTGGTACTAGGAATGTTACGAATTGAACAGTTTATTAAAGAATTATACGTACATAATATATTTTTATGTCGTAATAAATCAATTACACATAGGACAAAACCCGTAAAGAACTTTTACGCGAGATGCGTTTGAGTTGTAAGCTTAAGAAACAAAATATGTCATTGGGATTTTTTTTCCTTTTTTGGGACGAGTGTTTGTTACCTGCGAGTAATCCAACGACGAAAAGTCTGGATTGGTGTCGACGTGAGCCCGGACGAGCGCGGTGATGAGCGACACGGGCGGGCTGGGCGGCGATCCATGAGGTGACTTGGGCTTGGACGGCAAACGGCCACGACGACCTTTCAACGAGTCGGTTCGCACCACCTCCTTCACCATGCCCACTTGCAGACACTTCTGGAATCGACAAAACTGGCACCGATTCCGTCGGCGCTTGTCCACCGGACAGTTCTTATCGGCCAGACAAACGTACTTGGAGCCCTTTTGAACGGTCCGTTTAAAAAATCCTACACGACAGTAAAATACAACGGTCAATCACTACGATATAATGTTATCCTTTTAACAAGACGGTATTTTACGTTTATAATATTAATTTATTTGAATTAATCGATTAATTTTAATATTTCAGCTGACCGATCTACTAACTTTAAAAGTAAGGCTATTATCTCGGGTCCAAGAGTAGATTTTAATTAGCTTTCGGATAGAACCATCGGTTGTATTCGGAGCTATATTTTTTATTTTAGTAAAAACCGATTTTTGTAAAGCTCGATCTGTTCACAGTTCTATTTTTATTTAATTTTCTAAGAAACTATTACGACGCATCTTCCTAAAGTATAGTACAACCCACGTGTTAAAATTTACAGACAACGTGCGACTTTTGGAGTGTCTTTACTACTCGAAAACTAATATCCTATTTCATGGTTGAAAAAATTCATAACTGCCAAACCAACTGAGAACAATATAAGAAAAATATCGAAAGAATTGATCTGTTTCGAAGTCATTGCACGGCTATTATTTACTTTATACGTCAATAACGAATAAAAGTGATTGTTGCAGTAATAATAATACTAATAACAGTAATCAATCTATAGCTGTCGTTTGCAGTCTATAATCACCGACGCAGTATAAGACAATTAAATGGCGATCGTTTGTTATATCTATCCAATATTTTTAATTACTAGATAATTATGTATTTTTAACAGAGATATTAAATCAGTTTTCGTGGCTAAGCGAACCAAAGTTACAAATATTTTTTCGGGAGATTTTAACGTGTTGATATTAAGGCGGTCACTTTATATATTTATATTTTCGTACTGCACACAAAAACAATCGTAGGTAATAAACGTACAGACTTGCGCTGACTTAAATACGATAGAAGTTAATAAATATAATAGCACAGATTAAATAAAATTGTAAACTCTTAATTATTCGATTCGATGCATTTCGGCGCTTACCTTTGCAACCTTCACAGGTGCGTACTCCGTAGTGCTGGCACGCGGCTGTGTCACCGCAAACTGCGCACAATTGGGACGGTGAAGACGGAGCAGTGGCCACGGCGGTGGCGTTCCTCTGCGGCATCATACAAGCGGCGTCTGGCGTGGGCGGCGAACATTCGACGGGCACTGTCACCGACAGCGTGTTGATGCAATGCCGTATTTTCGGCGACATGCTGCTGGAATAGGAAAAAACAATTATTAGTAATAATTAAAAAAAAAAATAAAAACGTTGACTTAACGCTAGTGACAAACCCTGCGTGGTGTTAAAAATGGATAGCAGAGAATGAAGAAGAGAGAACGTGTGTGTGTGTGTGTGAGAGAGAGAGAGAGAGAAAGGAAAAATTAACTTAAAATTTAATGAAAATATATCTGATCCCGGTGGCTAGAGATTCTTTCAGATTGATTACGACTTCAAATAATAAAAACGAGCCTTGTCAAACCAAGTATGGAATATACGTATAATTTAAATGTCCTAGAAAATATGTTAAATCGACGATTTTCATTTCTAGTTTTAAATAAACGGAAAAATGTTTATATTCATTTTATTTTTCTATATCCTCTCCTCCCCAAGACAAATAATTAACTATTGAATACGTGTAGCGTAAATTTGATATTTTGCCTTGAGTGGCAAACAATTTAGGGACATGCACTGCACACATATTATCATACAATAATATATGATATAATATTAACTATATAGGTATGCGGCGTACAACAATGTAAGCTTTGAATTCGGTTTGGAAAATAGCGAGTATAGGCGCTTACCAGATTATTTATTAAAGGAATTGTTCCAGTCAGCGTGTACACTAAAATTAATTGTAAGTTGTGGTAAACGAGAGAGATGCGAGTTTCGCCACACATCTTGAGTGATTGTGTGAGGTCGCAAAATAGTAGCGGTTATAAGTAGTAAAAACTGTTTCGCCGAAGTCTTATAGTTTATATAGTTTTGGGACAATTAGAAAACTCGGTGGAAAGTCTTTCCGCGTATCATAAACTATATATTATTTGATTTATTCTAAATTGTGATGCGTAGTAATAGTCATGCAGATATATTTGTTCAGACCGATAATGTGTTTTTATTATAATCACTATTGTAAAAAATAAAAATGCAAACTACATTTTATTGTTGATTTATGGAGTTAAACTTGAAAATATATAATTGATTATGATTGTACCGTACAAATATTATATTAGCTGCTATTAGATAAGGTATAATTAAATAATATTTAATTATACTTTAATTTTTATTGACATTTAATTATTTAATTATTGTGCATTGATTAACATAAAATATATCGTAAATATGTTAAGTACATAAACTTAATTATTTCGTTTGTTTATATAGTAAATATCTGTTGTTAATAATGGTCTTGATATTTTAAGTAATTTAATTTGATGCCCTTTTTATAATTATTAATTATATTAACTCTTCTATGTAAAGCATTTTTTGAATTTGTTTTCAGATTCCACTAGCGACACAATAGATATGCTATAAAATATATTATGGCATTATTCATTGTTGGAAACAGTGCTGCAAAATGTTGACGATTTTTTAGTGAAAAAAAAAAAAATGTATTTTGAATAATCAGCTAAAATTGCCGAGAAGTGTATATTATTTTATTGCAATAATAAGTAGCCCGTGTACTTATATATATTATAATATTAAAATATGAATCGAATCGAGTGTAAAAAGATAAAACTTGTTTTACAATTATTCAAATCCGGGTCCCTGCTGATCATTATCAATTATTATTATCGTTGTTATTATTTAAACATTTACTGTCGATATTTTTAAAGTATGTTGAGTTCATCACAATAATATTCATTCGTAGGTACATTAGCGAACAAGGCCTGGCGGGATATCGGGGACTGTTGGTGGTGAGCCGCGACAGTGGGCTGTTAATACAGATAATAATTAGTCATTTTCACTTATAACTGTCGAGAAAAATAATGTGTATTGAATAATATTGATATTAAAAACATTAATGATATTGTTTAAAGTAAAAGTGATTTATTTGATAAAAAAATCTACGTACATACTTTTTAAATTTTATAACACATTCTGTTTTTGCTAAGTGCAAAATATAAATTAATTTATTTAGTATAATTATTAACTTTAGAGAAAAATATACATGAATGTATAATATAAGAAATAAAAATATCATTAAATTTATCTAGAACGAAATAAATTATGTTGTAAAATAGTTTTCTTGGGTCGAATTTTTTTCATAGTCCAGTCCATCACTGGAAATTACGTCGTATAAAACGTGCGCTGAGCTTTAATGAGTATGTCTACGATGTGATACTATGACGATATTGTTCTCGAATTTTTTGATTAGTAAACGATTGGAGGAAAGTTAATTATTATGTGCCGTAATAAAATGTCATGCGTGTATCTTAGTCACATAATAATCGTACGGTTAATAAGTCTTTTAGAGTAATAGGTGTTAATAAAAGTTATTTATCTAAAATCTTAACAACAACATAAATTAACCTAATTACTTTGCCCGGATTTGCCCTAAGCGAAGCGGCAACCCTTAAAATTCAATAATTTGACTTTGAAAATATAAATCAAGAACTTAGTGAAAATAGCTGAAGTCAACACCTATATATTAAATAAGTATTTAGTATTCCGGAATAAAAAATAATTTTTAATTAATTGAAATACTTATTTTATCAAAAATTATTTCATAAGTATTTAAATACTTAGAAAGACTGGTTACAGTGTCATAAAACTGTGTATCTAAACGATGGTTTTTAATCATTGTTATTCATTTTGCCCAGGTTTTCCCGCATGATAAAATAAATCGATAGTGATATAGACACCAAATTTCACAAAATGTAAATTTAATATTCAAGTTTAGCCATATAGACTCGCATCACTGTAACTTAACACGGGATAATATTGAATATAAAATATTTAATATGTATTATACACACTTATAGGTGGATTGTTGACGTAAATTGACATGATGAATAATGATAATGGTACCAATACGGTTATACACGATATCGAACGCGTTTCGGTGAGCGACGAAAACGAACGTATTTATGCGCAATTTATTGTTATGCACGCTGTTAGGGTTGTTTCTGTGAAAATAGCTCAGGACGCATTTTCCCATGCACGACGCGTACCCGCATGATAAAATTTATTATGTGGATAAAGCGAACTATATATCGATTTTGATTGTAATTATCTCGTGCAAATAAACTTTTCGAATGAATAATAATTACATAAAATCAGACGATCGCGTTTGGAACCGTACGCGCATGGGAAAAAGAAACGCGTGAGACGTGATTGTAGGTGCTCGTGTATAATTATATTTTTGTAGGCATGTGCCTTACTTTAAACACATAACACGCACGGTGTTTTGTAAATGTGTATTATCATTTAATATTTTTTATAATAGTAAAAATCGAATGGTTTTTACCGTTGGTTTCATAGTACATACATATTATGTTTCTATATACGAGATATTATCGAACGATTATGAATTACAGCCTTTAACCGTATTACATTCCTTAGACGTCGACTAAAGGCTTATTAATTATTATTGTAATTATTTTAATTCTTTTTCTACCCCTTGGTCACCCACAAGTCAGTAGACGCACTTATGTAGATATCTATATTTACAGTGGTATTCATTTTTCGCTTATTAAAAATATGTACGTTCATTTTTTTTTTTGTAAAGCGTTATTATCTTTGCGTACCTCCCGAAATTTAAAATTTTTTTCACGAAAACGTAGACAATGTCCGTTTGTTGATCCAAAGAGTGTAAATGGGAAATATCAAAAAGAAAAAAAAAATTCCCGTCTGCGGGCCAGAAAAAATTCTGCCATTTTCCGATGACCCCCCGACCCCTGTAGTGTATATTATGTATTATAACAGCACATAATTTCGGACTCACCTGGCGGACGGATCGGTACCGGCCCTGAGCGCCAACACTGCCGCGACCGACGGAGTCCTCGAGGACCGCGCGGCCGCGTCCACCATGGCGGCGTTGTTGACGACGTGCTGCAGCTGCTCCGTGGCCGCGTCGATCATCAGAGACGTGGCTGTGGTCCGCGACGTCGGCGGTGGCTGAGACACTTGCAGAGACTGTTGTTGTTGATGGTGGTGCTGGTGATTGACGGCTACGACGACGTGCTGCTGTTGTTGTTGCTGCTGCTGTTGATGTTGGTGTTGTTGTTGTTGTTGTTGTTGTTGGTGGTGGTGGTGGTGGTGCTGTTGATGGTGTTGCTTGGGCGACATGACCACCTGCACGTGATCCAACATCGGTTCGAACACGGACGCCGTGCCGCCTTGATCGGCGGTCGGCGAATCGGGCGGCTGCTGAGACGACGGCGGCGGCGGCAACGCGCCCGGAAAATGCTGAAAGTGATAGTCGAAATGTATGAGCGGCGGGGCCGGGGGCGCCGGTCCGTGGTGTTGGTGGTGGTGCTGTTGCTGTTGCTGCTGCTGATGTTGCTGTCCGTTGTGCTGCTGCTGCTGCTGGTGTTGTTGTTGGACGAGGTGTTGGTGCAGGAGCTGGTGATGTGCCGGCTGTTGCTGGTGATGCTGATGTTGTTGTTGTTGTTGTTGTTGCTGTTGTTGCTGGTGGTGGTGGTGTTGGTGTTGGTGGTGATTGAGTTGGGAATGGTGGTGCGGATGATAAGCGGACGAAGCGGTCATGGTCACCGCGGTCGCCGCAGTGGTCGGCGGACCGTAATCCTCTTCCATTTTGAACCCTACGCCCGTGGCGGCGTACGTCTCCTGGAAACTCGGCAACTGTAGGCCCGAACCGCCATCCTGCTGGTGCTGTTGCTGGTGAATCGGTAACTGTTGTTCGGCGGCGTCCGTCAGCGCGGCGTGCACGTCCGTCAGCGAGTCGATCTCCTCGTTCAGCGGCAGCTCGGAATAAGAACCGGACAGCAGCTCGGCAAAACTGCTCGGCGTGAATGTGGTCTGAAACATGCGGAAATGCACACGAAACGGTGATGAGGTTACGTTTGAAATGCATCGCGCCGAGAAACCTTAAGTCTATACGGACATAATATCGCGGAAGGCGCGCGCGTTTGAGATGTCATGCGTGACGTCACGACAGTGCGCATATTATAGGCGCTATATGCACGGGTAAGACAAAAACTTCGTTTGAAAACGGGCGATTAGGATGCGCTCACTGTTGTAAAATGATATCGCGCTCTACGCGACTGTTCGAGAATTAGATTATGTTGATTTGCTTACTTAAAAAACGCGCTTTTCTGAGTTATATCGATAAATAGGTACATATATGTAAGTATTATATACTAGTATAGAACTCGTCAAGTTCACCTTGGCACGCGGCGGCAACCGTTGGGATTTAAAAAAAAAAATGACGACCCTAAAACTCTATCACGTACATGTCAAATAAACTACTGTTTTTTTTTCCTATCGTAACGGCGATTGTCGAGCGCGAAGATGAACCTAGACGGGTTATATACATATATACCTATAGTGATCGTGCGACTTGTTAAAGTATTCGTTTATCCGATAGCTTACCACTACGACGGCACTGCGAAGACCTTATAATACAGTACTTATACTATACTGTCTATATTGTATTACAATACCGTGGTCGTAACTTCACTTGTGAGCTGTATAGCACGCACCCGAATGCGCACTCTGTTCACGCGGCGGTAAGACTTCTAACGAGAGATTTCAATATATTGAACGCGGAGCCGGCGATCGAGCCTTCCTAAAGTGACACATTGAGATCGTAGAGACGGCGGGCGTGTCATCGTTAACGATGATGATTATTGTCACATTATTATTATTATTATTATTATTATTGTTGCCACCGTATAACAATCGGTCGCAAATCGTCGCTCGTGACATTTTACCGTCGTTACAATATAACTGCAGATTATACGCGACGGCGTATACAGGACGATTCCAAAAACGTCATGCTCACCCTAATTTTCAATTTGAAAAATAGAAGTTTGTATCTTCATAGAACATTCCTTAAGTAGAAAAAAATTATTAAGAATTTAAAAACATGATCTTTAAGTACATAAAAATTCTAAAAATCATATTTTTAATAACTACGCCAACTACGGTATTGGACGAGAAGATAATGATGAATACTTAGTAAATCACTCTGTATATGTATGCATATGTGTGTGTGTGTAAATAAAGTTCACATACCGATCAATCGGAATCGCCGTCGGTTTTTTTGATCAATTATCCTAATAATATGATTATCTGTGCGAACCGCATCTACGGATAACGCAATACGTTGTTTAATGATTGCAGAACAATCAACTCTCAAGCGCAGACAATCGCACACGACCAATATTATAATTTACAACATAAATTGTACGTAAATGTCACGTAGAATATTAGTTTATCGCGTATTTTATATTATATTGATAATATAATAATATGTGGGTTTCTGTATTAAATTAAATTATATTATTATTAATCCAGTTTTAATATGTTTCAAAAAATGTTAAAACATTATGTATTTTTTTTTTTTTTATTAAGTGTCACTTTAAAAAAAAATTAACTATTACGTATATGCATTTAAAACGTAAAAATAAGCTTAACGATTTTTAAAACCAATACATTTTTGATTAGTTTTTATCGTTTTATACATAAGTATGACTAAATACCTGCATGTAGGTTACAACCATGCAGTTTATAACCCTATTATACTATATAGACCATTAAAAAGGAAACAATTTTATTTTTCGGGTATAAACTAATGAAAAAAAAGTCTTATAAACGAGTCACCACACAATATTCTAAGAAAAACAAATTAAATTGTTTATTACCAACTTCTTCCAACTGCCCAAAATATCGATACCTAGATCGCCGTCTCACGTGGGCCACCCACATACGTACGTAACAAACGGCTAGTTCTTAACAATCGTCAAAGTTAGCTTCATCTCCTATTTTCATTTAAACATATTACACTACAAAATAAAATTCTCATCTACAAGTTACTCCTCCTCAAATCTATCTGATCCTATGAAATTCAATTCTGAGTATCAGCCAAAGGCTTAAATATAAACCGAATTCAAACACTGCAATTCAAATGCCTTAGGTAGATAATTAAAGCTCTTTTTTTATGTATATAATGATACTCTCCACAGGAACCTCTTCATTAAAATAGTCAAAAGCGTTGTTAAAATTTTATTTAAACGCTTCCATCTTAAACTAGAAAATCATCAAAACTTCCTTATCGAAAATCTTTCTTTCCAAACAAATTCCAAGTGACCCTTTAAAAGCGTTTAAAGCGGAGCTGGTGCCGTGACCGTGTTAGTCGTCATTACACAACGTCATGAAGTACTATATTATTGAATAGTTTCTACAATCAAGCTAACTAAGCTCTTTTATGTTTCCTTTCATCTATTGTACCTTATTAATTGTTACGGACCATATAATATTTAGTATATTTTAAAACATAATATATATTGTATAGTATGGTGGTAGATGTTTCGATCATTTAATAAGACAAGACTATATGACTAGCGTGAGGTTAGGGCAGGTATTGTGAGTATTGTGTTATTTTAAATAAGACAATTTAGGTATGATTACACGTCGCTCATTTCTTAGAAAAGTCGAAATTCTGAGAGTGCTAGAGTCGACAAGAATAGTAATCAAATTCGAAAGTTCTCGTGTTATAGGAAGTCGCCACCACCATAATCGATTCTTTGTCAATCAACCATTTATAAAAGAGATCGGGGCAAGAGCTTTGCAGACGGTTAGAGATTCCAAGACGCTCAGAGGTTGGTCGTAACACCACTCACAATCTTGTTTAGTAGTATTTTTAGAGCCAGGTTGTAACACCGCTCACTAACATATTGTACTTGTAATAGTGTATTTTTATATCTAAGTCTAAATTAAATTAAGATGTACTTTATATTTAATATATCAAGTATTTTCATTTCTGCGTTGATATATGAATCGACGTTGTCATCGGTAAAAATATTTTATATAGATTGAACAAATTAAAATAAATATGAAAAAAAAATTGTTTATTGAAAATTAATTTAAAAAAAATTTGAAAAAGTATGTTTTTGCGTATTGATCAAAAACTCAAAACCTAATACTTTTATATTTTTAATATTTTAATTCGAGTAGCTTGTAGGTATCTATAATAATTTAAATCAATCAATGAAAATATTTTAAGGGGTTTTATTTCTGACAGTTTAACTATGGTTATTATTTACTGCATGCATAAAAATATTAATAATTTGAATATGCGTACCTACTGCAGTCTTGATATATGTCTGTTGTGTCAGAGAGTGGTGGAAAATATATTGAAATTCATCTAAAATTTGAAAGTTCTGTAGGAAAACTCTAGTAAACCAATTTCATAAACTAAAAACTCGGTAATGGTCAAAAATATGTAAATTTCGAAAGCGGACATAAGAATATTACTAGTAAAGGGTTAGTCGTTTCGATATGAATATTTTATTTACGAGCGTGGGTGAGCGACTTTGTGTACGTTAGAAAAATAACTTTACGCTAAATCGTTAAATGCTGTTTATAGGTATATGTAACCGCTTATTGAAAATAAGCTATAGTTCACATATTCATTTTGGTCTAGATAAAGTTTGATTTGTTTCAGTTTAAATTATTGCGCGCTAATTAAATTTAATAAATATTTAAATATTCTTATTTTGACAATTTATTTATAGAATAGTAATAAAAATATTTAATATTTTGATATGCCGATGTTTTCCGATATACCTGAACACATATTATTTTATTGTACTGAATACATATAGTGACTTTAAGAAGATCATATATCATATTATGAAAAAATTGGACGTGAGATGTGGTAAGATTTTGGACTACGCGGGTTCATAATCATTACATTGCGCTGTGTTTATTGCTCGCGAGTTGCGACAATAATATTGTTCGTTGACACTCGACGATCGTTATATATATAAAACTGTTGCTCATAACTTTATTGATTTCGCAGGTTTCAATAACTTATTATAAAACTATAAAGATACTATTTGGTGAAATTTTTTATTTTGCGTACATACGAGTACAATCATGTGGAAAAAACGTTCAGTTCGAAATTTTTCGAGACAAGTTGGGAACACGTTGCTCAAAAACGGGACGTCATGCGTTTTAAATGGTCATCCTACCGTGTACCAATAAGTATACGATGCACGGGGTTGACTAAATATTTGAATTCCCCGAGTTCGTGCGTCGCATATTATTATGTTCGTATTCATTATTAAATTGTAGTTGTAGACGATAACACTCTTTCATTTGTTTAAAATAATATTTATTCGGTATAATATTGACTTAAATCAATTTAATCCTGCGAATGTTTTGTTTTATTTTCTTTTTTTAGCATATAAAGCTGATCTCGGATTTTGTTTTTATATTTCGTAACTCAATATACATCTGATCGTACGGAACGTAAATAAAAACATCGACAAGAAACACAACAACTACCAGTAAGATTTAAAATTACTATATTTTTAAAATAAATAATATTGTTAATTACAATAAACAGGCACCTATAAATTTTATACTATGTATATAAGAATATCATTGTTTTTGTTATGATAAAATCGACATTATATGAGCGTACCACCTATCTCGGTTAAATAAACATCGAAATACTCGCGATAAACAATATAATATTTTATAAGTAGATCAAAATTTAAGTTGATTTTTTTGATACACAAACAAATAACGTGTCTCCAATCATCGCCAAATCGTTCTCATAGGTGACATTTTTCCATCGAGATGATTTTTACATAGTATGTTTTCAATTTCGTTCGTGGTTTTTATTTATACAAGTTATTCCAATACTAACATTGGTACCTGACAACAAGTCTGATAGAATTATACGTTACTTAGATATTTTTGAATTTGGTTTTTTTAAAATCCAAATCAGTTTTTTGAAATAATGTAGTGTTATATTTTAATTAATTATTAAGTTCGAGTTATAACTT